GGTATTTCCTCCTTCGGAAGTCCTCCCTCTCGCTATGTCGAGTAGGAACGTGAGACCTAACAGCGTGTGACACCGAATAAGATTGATGTCACGAACCAGTTACCCGGATATCGCCAAACATATCGATATTAAAAACCTATCTTACTACGGCTCACCTGCATTCGGTCAAGGTTTCGTTCGACCGCCGATCAGTCGGTCCGTTACTTGACCTTCATTTCGTAGTCTACAACCACCAACCTTAGTTAAAAAAAACAACCCGGTCGGTGGTTTCGCATCGCATACAGGCATTGCATCTACCACGGCTTTAAGACACTGCCACAAAATAAACTCGCAGCCGTAGACATGCCCACAAGTACATAAACTCTCGCTATGTCGAGTAGGAACGAGAGACCTAGCAGCGTGTGACACCGAATAAGATTGATGTCACGAACCAGCTACCCGGATATAGCCAAACATATCGATATTAAAAACCTATCTTACTCGTTTACTCTTACTACGACTCACCTGCATTCGGTCAAGGTTTCGCTCGACCGCCGATCAGTCGGTCCGGTACTCGACCTTCGTTTCGTAGTCTACTACCACCAACCTTAGTTAAAATAAAAAACCCGGTCGGTGGTTTCGCATCGCATACAGGCATTGCATCTACCACGGCTTTAAGAAGACACTGCCACAAAATAAACTCGCGACATGACGGTGAAATGCAGCCGTAGACATGCCCACAAGTACATAAACTGTGCCTGTGGAGTTGTGTATGAGATACCGTGCTCATGTGGGAAAGTTTACGTGGGCCAGACCGGACGATGCGTCAACATCAGGCTCAGGGAGCATGAACGTTCTCTGAAACCCCCGTGGTCAGGTCACCTAGCCTCGCATGTGAGGGGCCAGAGGTGCACCCCTTTATTCTTTAGCGCTAGAATTCTTCGGCGGTCCCCCGACAAGAGAACTAGAGAAATCGACGAAGCCTGGGCCATTGCACAAAAAGGCGAATCCTGCATAAGCGCGCCATCTGTAACCTTGCCACCCGAGCATCTATGATACGTCACAACCTCCGAGATCCCGAAGCGCGCGCGCGAAGGCTTCTCCGGCCGTCCCATTCGACTGCCGCGAGGTGGCGATGTCCGCCCAGTTTGGCCCAGTTATAACAGAGCCGTATATTGGGAGAGTCTGGGCATTGGGTGTGGCGACGAGGGCACTGGAGAGGAGAAAAATTAAGGAAAGGGAGGAGAGCTTCGAAGGAGAGAGAGGGGCCGAAGGAGAGAGAGGGGCCGAAGCATAGAGGGTAGAAGAGAGCAAAGAGGAGACGACCGCCGTTTTGATGCAACATGCTGTCGGCGCAGAGCACCGTTGAGGCTACACGTCGTCTGCTACGGACTTATTTCTTTTTCGCCTGAATAAAAGTTTGCGTTCAAACGTGTAGAAACTTCATTTGTTGGCTTTCAAGCCACCGAGGCGAGAGCCTGCCAGATGACAGGAGAGAACCGAAATTTGGGTGTCGATCCCATGCATTCCGCCGGGCAAATGAATGAAAATGCCCCCCCCCCCCCTCTCTTTTCAGCTGGGAGCAGCCGGGCGCGAATTTTCGACACCGGTTTGATGGTTAGGGGGCGTGGCCAATGACGTCACGGATGTCCAAATAACAGCACCCGATATTTTTGATGTCTTGGACGTTAAAATGATATCAATTGTTATTTTGAAGTAAACAACACGGTTTATTTTGGATGCCGCCGACTGCATTTTGAAATGTCGGTCGCTCGGCGTGTGTGTGGTCGGGTGCTCGGCGGCTCGGGGCGGTGTCCGCGCTGGTACGGGTTGTCGACGTGCCGCCTGTGCTTGTCGCATTCTCAGGAACATCAAGGTAAGCGTTTTCCATTTTCAAATTTCGCCCGGTGCCATCCACACTCGGGTCCATATCACAAGAGCGAATGACATTTTAGCGAACAGCGACATTTGAGCCAATGGGCGTTTTAGCGAATAACGGGGGCGCGCGTTAACCCACCCGTCGCGCTTCGCGGCGACAGTCTGCGGCAGCTCATTACAAAAATACGAAGCCACTTGACCCACCCGAAAACGCCGCTTCGCGGCGTCCGACTATTCGCTAAAGTGTCGTTCGGTGAAACGTGGGCGTTCGCTAAAACGTCATTCGATCAAGTGAGTGCCTCCCGGTCTGACGACAGGTGCCTGCCTAGGTTCTCCCGTACCACGGTACCAAGGTTTCTTTTGGACCGCCTCGCATCTGAAGTTTCTCTCTGCAGTAAGTGCAGATGACAAAGAAGTAGTGATGGGACGAATCAGCGGAGATTCGGATTCGGGCCGATCCGGAAATTTCCGAACTTCTCGCGACGAATATTCGGCAGATTCGGATATTCGTCGCTGGTTGCAGACGGAAGCGTGAACCCTTTTGTAAACCTCGCAAATGCGGTCAGTTGAGGTTTTTTTAGGTACTGTTACCTGTTACTGCATATTACCAGCTTTCTCTTGTTTACTTCAACGTATGGTATGTGTAGAGGTCGCAAGTGGCGCCCCCTCACTCTGTCGCTCCTCCGTTGCGAGTCTATATAATCGGCAGCTTGAATAAAGCGCTTCACTTGCCGACTGGAACCCGATGCGTCTGCGTCTCACTCAATTCCGCGACATGGTGTCAGAAGTAGGGGTGTCGCGAACCGGCCGCGGTTCGAGTTCGACCAGGTTCGACTTTTTCGAACTTTTAATGGAAAGTTCGACGAACCTTGTATTGAGGTTCGACTCGTGTGCGCATGCGCGACAGGCTGACCAGTTGGCTTCGGATTGGATGGTAATGGCTAAAAGATGAATTAAGTGCAGCGCTGATTGTCTATTTTAGTCAATACAGTACTAAACATTAAGTTATTAACTTATTCAGTGATTAGAATTAGTTTCTTTTAATTGCAGCTGTTCACAAAATAAAATAACCCCTTGCATAAAAAAAAAAATTCTCCAAACCTAGACATGCTTGTATTGAGGTCTGGCCACACTGTCCATAAAGTCGAACCGGTCGAATCTGGTGAAAAGTTCGAAGGTTCGTCGAACCGGTTCGACTCAGTCGAACCCCGGAAGTTCGACCAAAAAATCTGGTTCGACAAAAGTTCGCGACACCCCTAATTGGGACCTTCACACGACGCTCAAAATTTATAGCAGGTCCAAGTTTTTACCACCAGATGGCACTCAATTTTTAACGAGGACCACTTCACAGTTTGAACACTAGATGGCGCCTATTCCCGAAATTCGCTGGGTCTTTACAAAGTTTTACGAGCTCGCCCCAAATTTTAGCAGGGCTACTTTAAAGCTTTACGCTGGACCAAGATATACCACGATCCGCGAGCTCCAAACTTTTACCGTCACCTCAACCCCCAACCATTTAGCGGGACCCAGCTGCTGCTATTTAGGACCGTCACATGATGCCCAAATTTAGCGGGTCGAAGACCCCAAATGCATCAGCTAAGGGGGCGCCATGAGGCTACGAGTCCGCGAACACCGTTTGAATCGCGCGAAATCACGTGATAAAAAGACGGGCAACGCCCGGCGATGCAACTAATATTACACGACCATCGTCACATGACCTGCGGCAATGTCGTATCCTGTTTTCAATCGTATTACAAAAGCCAGGTAGCGGGAAAGCACGTGATCTGGTTTGCACACACACGGACAACTACGAAGAGTTAAGCCCTCTGGGAAGCAATGTGCTTCTAGCTCAGGGGGTAGAGTGTCGGGCTCCTGTGCACAAGGTAGCGAGGTCGATCCCCAGCCGCTGCAGAGCCTTTTTTAGCGAATAAAAGCCATTTACCGCGCAGAGAGTCAAATAATATCACGTGACCGTCATGTGACATCACGTCAGCGCCCTCTATCGGACGCAACTCAAACCCTGTGTGAAATCACGTGAGCGCCCTCTGTCGGACGCAAGTCGAACCATGTGTGAGATCACGTGAGCGCCCTCTGTCGGACACAACTCGAACCCGGGGAAAATCACGTGGTTGTGAGCGGTGGTGACGACATCTCTGTACGTGTCTTTCCCACGCCTCTGACACGCGCCGCGTACGTGCCTGATAATATCGGCTGTTAACACCTTGTTAAGGATGTGTTAACACCTTGTTAAGCATGTGTTAACATCCTTAACGAGGTGTTAACATTGGCTACGTGACCTCACACCTATATCACGTACGTGACTCGAGGGCGGGACTTCGATGGGCTCCGATTGGTCACTGGGATGGGAGAGGGGGCAGGTGCCCCGCTCCACTGCTCTGTGATTGGTCGGATTGGGGTAGGCCCCGCCCTGCGGCGCTGTGATTGGTCGGATCGGGCCCCGCCCACAGGGCAACGCCCCTAGCAACGGGCAACGCCCCTAGCAACGGTTTGTTTACCATCTGTGTGAGCTGGTGCATATTTACTACTGCTCCGGGGATAAGCACGATTGATATGTACACGGTGCCAAAGACGCTCACACTGACGAGGAACCCGTTCGTTACGAGGACGCTCCGTGGCGTTCTTGACACGACCGGTTCGGATTGACCCTTTCAAAGAATCGGAGATCTGACGGGACCGAAATAATGATTGCCGCGGCAACGGAGACCGGTCGGCCAATTGCTTTGCGAGGATTGGTTGTCTGCAATTTAGCATCCGTTTGTGTCCGGCTACAAGCAGGGAAGGCAATGAGCCTATTTTCCCAGGATCCAGCGACTTTGCCTTCGACGATGCTTCGGTGCCTCGTGAGCCTCGAGGATGCGCGCGCAGCCGAAGCACCACAAAAGGCAATGAGCATGTGCTAGAGGCAAAGGCTATGCTCTCAGTGGGCACGTCGTAGAGAGACTCGCGATTCTATTCTACCTCACTAGTTACGCGCAGTGCTCTCCGAGCCTTGGGCGGCAGAGAAAGGCAAGCTGCTTTTGTACAAATTTGGGACGACGGGCTAATCTCTGAGGGGTACAAAAGCGACGCCAGGGACGCACAAAATAGGGTCCAAGTGCTCTTTAGTCAGTGTGTGCACAATGTCGGCTTTGAATAGAATTTATTAGGCACAATAAAGAAGGCAGTTCCCCTACAAAACTAAATGGACATTCAATATCTCGATACTACAGTGTGTTTGCGACTACGGTTTTTGGAGGACTTGACGAGCGCAATATTCGAAACAACGTGTTCATGAGCAAGACTGTTCCATTTCGCATACTTTAAAGATTTTGAATTGTCAGGAAACAAGCTTTGTGGTTGCACAAGGACAGCAATAGGATGCAGGGCTATTGAGCTTCTACCAGAAAAAAAGGCACCCAGAGCGTCTGCAACGATGGTGTTATAGACATGCCCCAACTAATTACGCCAATGAATGATGGGACACAAATATCCACAGTTGTGGCTCGCATTGCATTAATTTTCCTCGGCGTTTATACTGTCCGATAATGTCTGAACCGAATTTTACGAGGCATTTGTAACGTAAGAACTCGCCAATCGAGGAAAAATATCTCCAAACCAAAACCCACTTTTGTTATTTTTCCCAAAAAGTTATACGAGCTCGATGATGCTGACAAAGTCTGGTAAGCGCAGAATGCGTGATAGGCCTCCCTGGAACGAAGAGAAGGGCTTTCGAACGGCACAGGCCGTGAGGAGGCGCTGCATGACTGGAAAAGCCATGGAGTGCACTAGTTCATTCACGAACGAGCTCACTCTTGCGTGGTCTGTACCACAGAGGCTGGATAGCTCAGTCGGCAATACACTTTGCTTACAATATCGAGGTGCTGAGTTAAAATCCAACAAGACTACTGAATCTTTTTTATATGGCTCCCTATGGGCATAACACACTGGCTCTTACAGCCAGTGGTTACAGCCAAGCATTATAGAGCTCCATGGAGATCAATTGATAAAACACATTCCGCTTTAAAAACAAATTGTCCCGTGCAGGAATGCCACAAAACAACGAGAAGTAATAGGCCGTCCGAGGCACCCATCTTCACTAGTGATCATAAAAACCACCTAACCCTTCTCGTGCAAAAAAAAATCCTTTTTGTGGGGTGTTGGAGACTTCCAAAATCTATCAAAATGGCCGGTCCTATTGGCCGAACAGGTCCTCGTGAAGGCAGACTTTTCCTTTTTTTTTTTTTTCCCCCGTTGTGCGAACGTCCTTGAAGGCGTTCCCACTGCACATACATTTGGCCGACGGAGTGTCGGGCGTCACACGCTCTTGAGGAAAAGCGCGGCACCGCACTGCAGCCACTGGTTTCGGTCCCCGTCGCAGGGCAGCGACAGGGTTGCCACCACCTTCTCCCGTTCGACGCCGGAGTAGAGCGGCAGGAGGATGCTGCCAGCCTCGGGGTAGGGTGGCGGAGAACTCTGCAATCGAAGGAGCACCTCACTGGTCCTGGTTCAAATCGAATTCGGGAGGTTGTGCCAAATCAATTAACCCTTCGACGGTTGCTGTCATACGTGCACGGAGGCGATTACGCATTTACAAGTTCCCACCTGAACGCGAAAGCGCCCACTCCCCGGGAGGTGTTAATGTCTGTTATGTCCTTGGCAAATTATAAACGTTGCATTCACACCTTATTTCGCTTTGCTGGGGTTATTTACTTCTTTACCGTTTTTAGTTCTTGGAAATTTGTGACCCTCAAGATTACAATCGTTGCCTATACAATCTAATTTCAAGCAACAAACAGATGGGAGCAAATTATTTTAAAAAATAAGCGTTGCCAGTTGTTGGCACGGCCGCAAACTAAGCCATTAGCGAGCCTGGTCCGTCCGAAATCAGTTGACTGCATGAACCGGGGGAAGCAGACGAGCTGTACTCGTCTCGAACGGTTTGGGGATGGCTCCACGTTGATAAGCTAGGCTCGTCCAAAACGGCTAAGGGGTCAAGGTTTCAAAATTAGATGCATTGTGCCCACACATACATTCCCCAAAGGTTGGAGAATCTCGTGCCCATGTCCGTTTTCTTCAACGTAAGCCCCAATAGACTGCAATCTTTTGTCCTACGTCGAAAATACACCAAAAAACACAGAATCTGCAAAAAAAACACGAGCTTGACCACGTTGACGAAGACTGGTAAGCACAGAACGTGCGACAGGCCCTACACTTATCGGCGTTCGTGTGCGGGGCCCCCACACACAAACTCGCGTACATTCTGCGGCCGTCTGCTTCGCCACTGACAAACGCCGCGAGGTGGCGCAGCACGATAAGAGCGGGAGGAACCGTCCCCATTCACCCACATGCTTCCAAGGCAGCGAGGAACACAACCACACCTGAGCGGTGTTCTCTGAGAGCAAACACCTCTCTCAATAGTTCAGTCAGTAAATCATATGGCTCACAATCTCAAGGGGATGGGTCCAAAATGTGCCGGAGACTTCTTTCGAGTCTTTTATAGGGTCCGCTACGCTCTGGTGAACGTACTGCGTTTCAATGTCTGTTTTCTGTTACAATCAAACGTTACAGCCAAGCGTTAGACGTTTGGAAAAATCGGCCGATAAAACACATTTGGGTTAGGGGTGGAGGGGAGAACAGTGAGTGATCATGTCGGGAAAGCCCGCCTGTGCGCACCTTGGGCAGCCAGGCAGCCAAGCATGCGGGGACGGACGACACGCTGGGGGAGTTGTGGCGGCACTGCGCCAGACGCAAGCCGTCGAAGGAGCACCCCTCCAGCTGCAGTCCGCTCAAGGTCACCGTCAAGGTCGCCCCCGCAATGCCGCCTTTCCACGACGTCACGAAGTGCAGGCCATCCACCGGAACGTGCGCTTCCCTGCATTCGGTGTGGAACGCACGTTAGATCTCCATCATTCGTACGCGTGTCGTCGTTTTCAGTCTCTTTGGCACTCTCGTCGATCGTTAGTTGTTTAGACGGCGGGAGTCTAGTCTGCCAGAGCATGGCAACATCGTTACCCGCCATGGACGAGATATTTAGCCAGTGCGGTACAACCCCTAGCCCGGGGTCTCTAACGAGCACCACGCAGTATAGTGGTAGTCGACCGCGCGCCGGTACGATACTCATCCAGATCGAAACGGGCAGGGGTGGGGATCGAACCCGGTATCCCTAGGTTTCGCAGTGCAAGCTTTCGCATTCCGTGCTATAAGCTGGCGTGCGCTAGCCCACTCGGCCACCGATCCCCCCCATTTGCCATCGTACCGTAGTGCGACTTTGCCAAAACTTCCAACTCGCCAAAAGTGGGGAAAAAAAAAAAAATTAAAAGAAACGTGCAGCAGGATTGCTGAAAGCTTGGACCTCTCTCGTTTAGCGCGTACTAATAGTACAGTGGGTCGCTGTCGTCCCTCTGTGTTTTATTGCAAGATGCGACTCGCACGAGTAACTGGGATCTACTCGAGGAAGAAGTTTGCCTCGCACTCGTGTGCAATCAGTGAGGAGAAAGAGTCAATGTTCGGCTGGCCCTCGCGTTCTCTTCTTCCATCCCTGGCGTGAAAAACCGTAAATGATTAGGTGCCAGCCCTATAACACGTTCTGCGTCGTAATACGGTCGCGGGCGGCCCACCTTGCCGTCTGCTGCCGCAGGGCATTGAGGAAGGTGTCCGGTCGGAACAGGTCCGACAACTCGAGGGGATCCCGAAGCAGGGTCCCTGCGTCAAACTTGTGGATCCAGCCGCCGACGGCCAGTGCCCGCCCCACGACACCCCGCAGGAAGGGCAGCGGCTCCTCTGGTCCTTCCCAGCGCTTGAGCCACTGGGCTGGCACCTGCGGTCGAGGTGCCTTTGCTCACTACACAATGCAGGGAATGCATTCTGCATAGAGTTCTCAGATGTGGCTGATCAAAGCATTAGAAGAGACACTCTGAAAAAAGAAAATTTAGAAAAAAAATCTTTGAAACTGTCTCTGAGGATTGACAGCCACTCATTACCTTATTACGTGAAATAAGTATTTCTTATTTTGAAATATCGATTTGAAAGCATAGTAAAATGAACCTGCGCAAGTTTTTTCCTGTCATTTCAGAATGTATTTTTTATGCAGATTGCTATTTTATGCAAGCCATATCTTCACTTGCACACATTCATTCTTCATCATTTTCTTTCTTCTGGTAGATCTATGTAAGTGAGACATCCAATGAGGAACATAAACACGTTAAACGGGGCAGTCATATTTTATAAATTAAACAAAATCCAGGCACGTAGCAGATTTTGTTTCGGGGGGGGGGCCGCCCATGACAAAATGCTGTATGAGGGGGAGGGGGGAGAGGAGGTCCCAGTAAAATGGAAGATTTCACAACTGGAAATTTCGTAAACTCCATTAAAAACATATAAATAATTCCAGAGCTTTAGTTTCTACCATATAATATTCAATTCTGCACAACTGTTAGTTCGCAGATAAATAATTACCTGATTTCAGTATTTCCGCAAAACTAATTAAGCTACGCAAGCAGCAAGTACATATGTGTAGTCAGATTGTTAAGGCACATAAGCTCTGCAAATTTAATTTGTAAAAGAAAAGGCTACGGAAGCACCAACCCACCCAAGGGAACGCACTGGTGAGGCCCAACTTACCGGGCAGGTACTTTAGAATGTATTAAAATTTAAAACCAAAGATGTGGTCTCTGAAAAACTGAAAATGGTGCAATTCTTGACCATTTCAAGACCTGTATCTCCCTATTTAGGACACCTGGGGGTGTTTCATGTGCAACCGAAATTTCAATTCCTCTGCAGTATTCCTGTGTCTCAGCAAGATTTCAAACCTATCAAGTCAATTTGAAGGCCTACGCTTTAGCCCATCAAGTCACTGAGATGGCTACCTTTGGGAGCATAATGAGGAGGTCGAGTGTGTGTGGATTGCCACACGCACACTGCTTTCCTGCACCACATTCATGCATGAGTGGAGAGGTCACTTTTCAGGCATACAAGCAGACATGACTGTTGGCACAGACTTAAGTCTGAGGAACCAAAACAAGCTGGGAGGACCTTAGTCTTGGATCTTCATCGTGAATCTATACCAGCTCGCCTACTTTTGGCACTGGCTTCATATTGTGTTTACTGGTGCTTGGGTCCTGTTACCTGTGTTAAACACTATGGGGCACTGAGCACATATCGACCGGAAAACCTTGCGGCCATAACGAGAGACATACAAGTGCAGCCACAAATGACGACTCATCCCCAGAAATGGGACACAATCATTATGCTAGATGTATTACCTTTCCAGGGGTCTCAGATTCTTTGTTATGATCCAAGAATTGCAAATACACTAAAATTCCAATATTCAATGTGGCTAGGTATACCCGTAAGAAAATTTGGGGACCCCACTCCCAAAGAAACAGCACGATAGAGTAATTGCATTCTGTGGACGTTCAGACAACGGGAATTTAGAGAGGCCCAATGGCCGTCTGCTGCCACCGCCGTAGATGAGAACTTTAGCCAGTGCAGTACAACCGCTAACTTGGGGTTTTTCTTGTGCACCGCATAGTGGCGATGCACGACCGCACGCCAGTACGATGCTCGTCCATATCGGAACGGACAAGGGCAGACATTGAACCCGACATCCCTGGGTTCTGCAGCGCCAGCTTTAGCTCCACGTGCTCCGAGCTACGGTTGGCCAACGCGCTCGGCCATTGATGCCCCCTAAAAAGCACTGAGGTGACATTCGAGTCGCAGCAAGCAGCTGTGCACACCTGGTGGTTGACCAGTGCCGTGGCAGCTTCCTTGACCTCTGCGGTGAGGAGGGCGGTGCCCCGAATGACCTTGCTCAGGCTGGCCAGGGTAGCGTGGATCTCTTGCACCAGGCGGATCCCGCTGCGGTGCTCCAGCTTCAGAAAGCTTTCGATCGGAGACTGCCGCGAGCCCTCCGGAGGATCCGACGTTGCCGGCAGACGTGTCTGGATCAGCTGTGAGCCCTGCAGACACGGACACGGTTCACCTAAACAGCTATCTGCACCATAACATAGCGCAGGGGTGGCCAAGCTGCAGCTCGCGAGCCGCGTGCGGCTCTTTGCGTGTTAAAGTGCGGCTCGCGGCTCCCGGTCACACAAGCACTTCCCAAAAAGAGAAATGTAACGCGTTTTAAATTGAAAGACAGGTTGCTGTTTGGTAGTCTTGTGCTACTGCTACCTTACGTACAGTTGGACTGCTTTTGATTTAGATAGATTGGAAGCTAGAAGTTAGAGTTTTGTGTATTGCTCTGGACAAAAGTTTGCCCCCCCTTCTTGGAATTTTTGCGGTTTTGATTGCGGCTCTTAGGCCGAATCAGCCTGGCCACCCCTGACATAGCGCTTCATGCAAAACAATCGCAAACTTTTTTATGGCAGTGCCTCCCAAACTTTGCTATCCTGCGCAAGCTTTTCAAATTTCATTGCACGAACAGCAACAAAAAATGGATGCCGACATTTTATCGGCACCCATTTTGTGCGTCGACGACAAAAGAACAAACACGGCAATGTTTACACTGTTCTTTACCATGATTGTTCACCAGCTTGCCTGTACAATTAACAGTCATGCCTCATTAATAGGGGTGCGCGAATATCGAATAGTGGTTATCGAATCGAATACCAAATCGAATTAAGAAAAAATAGAATATCGAATTGAATATCGAATAGTGATTTTATTTGTAGGAATTTTTCAAAGTGAGCTGTGAATGAGATAATTATATCTGCAGAGTATGCACCTGTTACAGAATATGCATCTTGTATGGAACAAAAGCTCAAATGTATGAATGTTCTGGTGAAAAAGAAAAGAAAAGCAGCTGATAATAGACGTTCGGCATAAAGATCCAATTTTATGGCGCAAACATGATCTATCTACCCTAAGCGTCACAAAAAAGCCAAAGTTACAGCCACATGTGCCTTTTTTTCTCGTTAAAAGCACGACCTAACACCGCAATGTCTTTTTTTTAAATATTTGTATATCTCAAAAAAGGGGCATTTTGCAATATTTAGTTTCAATTTTAAGGGACAAAAAGGGAACCCGGAATTTTATTTTATATATATACACAGAGAGCTGTTAAATCTTAGTAAACGGGCTTAAACAATATAATCTCAAGTAACAAAACAAATGTGGTTAGCTGGTGCAAGTCACCGTCCAAGTGCCGCTACGCATCCATTCCTCCGTCCATCTATCCTGCTTTAGAGAGCCTAGATTTAAAAGAGGGAGCAAGAGAAACAGAAACCACGGAGACGGCTCCTGCGCAGATTGGTCGTAAGTGTGCGTGTGTTGTATTGTTGTGTAGAAAGAAGGCGAGCGCGAGCAAACGTAAGAGCCTCGACGCCTGCCTGATCAACGCTTTCATCTTTTCGTCACCTTTTCGCAGTTCGTAATTCAAACGCGGCTATCGAACGGTCGGAAACCCTCTCAAATCTAGGCACCCTATTTTTCCGTTTCGTTTCTAATCGGATTTTGTGGCTTGCGGTTCCAAAAGAATAATGGCGACAACTCTGCTGGTTTCATCGGTGTGGTTCGTGGGTTTTTTTTAATGCGAAAGCATTAACTGGTCTCATAGAGCGAGCTGACGTTATCAGTCTGAAGCGCGAAAACAGCAGATAGCTTCCTTCGGTTCCATTGGCTAGTGCGCGTCGACGGGGTGGCTCCCATTGGCCGCTGCGCTCGTCAGTTTCCACGACCACTCACCCCATGGTGCTGCGTGTCCACCAGCGCGGCGTTAACACGGAGCGTCTAAGGCCACCAGGGGAGCACACGCGCTGACCGGCGACAAAAAATACACAGCGATGAAAAAGAGAGGCGGACGAGTGGCTTGCATGCTTTCGCATTCACAACTCATAAAGAATGCTTTTTGCGATCTTGCAGTCGCCGATTTTTGTGAGTGTGGCAACTGTGTTCTACATCGATGCTTCAGTTTGAAACGAGGGGTTTTACCCGTGAAAAGAATTAGGCATGGCGCGGAATTCCGGCCTTCCAACAATTCCCCTCTGGAAGCGGCGCAAAGGGAGGGTCGCTCGAGATATGGGTAATGAGATATTTTTCATGGTTTATGGCACCCTGTTGAGCACTTCGGCAAGCTTATTTTGTGAAACCCAAATTTCGATTCAGCATCCTTTTAAAGAAACACTGAAAATAAAAAAAAGATTTTTTTTTAAACAGTCTGGTAGGGACATGCGTGTCAAAAAATAAATTTACATAAAAAAACAAATTTTTAGAGCAATATTGATGGTGCAAGACGCAATGTAGTCGGTGTCACCTTTTTTCTACTTGTTTTCTCTCTCAACATTTCGGGCGCGTGGGAGCGGCTTGGCCATCGGTTGAGGTGGAAAAAGTGTATGACCATTCCGTGACGCCATGGACCTTGCGCGCAGAATTTGAAATAAATCTCGCGCCGTCAATATTATTTTAAACTTTTTTTTTGCGTAAAATTATTTTTGTGATCTGCGTGTCCCAACCACAGCGTTGAAAAAAAAAAACATTTTGTTTTCAGCGGCCCTTTAAAAGAGAGAAATGCTCCGACCTGGTTGAGCTTCTTCCAGAGGTTGAGGACGGGGGACAGCTCGGAGCTCCAGCCCTGGACGTCCAGCTTCCCTGCGGCCTCGGAGGGCCTGGCCAGCGTCCTCAGCTGGGAGACGGCCTGGGCGCTCAGCGTCCGCTGGACGGAGCGGTCGATATTGGACGGCAGGCCGAAGTAGGCAGGGGAGTCTTCGTCCGCTATCTGCTCAATCACCTTCAGGTGCACCTGCACCAGCACCCCGTTTCTATTGGAACATGTTGTTACGTGTGTGGCTACATAGGCAGGAAATTTTCACTTTTCTGGAAGGGCTGGCCTTCTGGGACTTTCTTTCAGGGCTGCTACGTGCAAGATGATGTTCGGGCTGTCGAGGCACCAAACGTGTACCAAGTTCGTACGTGCAACACCACTTCCAAGCAACACAAAATGCATTCTGCATTACCGCCATCTTTGCTAACATGAAGCCAAGAAAGAGCACACTTTTTTTTTATCCTCGGACCCTCACGGGGTGTGATAAAAAGGGAGGCATCCGCAAGTACTTTGGCAGAGGCCCTTAAGAATATCTTGGTAACGAAATTTAACTGCAGTTTCTCTACAAAATGTCAAGACACCCGTTCCAAAGAAACAAAAGAGGCAATGAAGCCACGAGGCAGCGCACGCTAACCTCGTAGTCGGGGGCGGTGGGGACGGCGACGCTGGGCGCCAGGTTCCTCTTGGACCGCGGAGTCCCCGAGACGACGGCAGAGTCGAAGAACTGGCCCAGGTAGGAGCGGAGAACCCGCATGTCGAAGGGGTTGTCCACCCTCCCGCCGTACACGGCCGTCTCAAACAGGCCCCTCAGGAACTCCCACTCCACCGTGCCGGACTCTGCGCCCGAGAGAGGGACCCTGCTCTTCAAAGGCCGCACGGCCACCACTTGCGCCAGCTTACAGCGAGAGAATGCGCTGTCACACAGGTGCCATCCATCGTGTGACCCTGGAACACTTCTGAGCTGCGTAAAACCTGTCTGAAGGTTGCGCGGTATTAATCGGATCAAATGGACACACTATCTACGAAAGGGGCTCACTTATAACGCTGTTGGAATAATTTCGAGCACGCAACGAGTGGTGCGTAAAAAATTTGAAAAATATACGAGCGTCAGAAGTATTTCAGAGTTTACCTGACAGAGGGCGCCAATGCATTACGCATTGCAAGCGGTTGAAATGCAATAGGTCTCACTCAGATGAAAATGTCTGAAGCAGCCTTAAGATGCATCGCGCAACAAACTCTGCACCCGAGCGTGCCCATTAATACATTGCAGCTCATGTGCATGCAGAGGCTACGCTTGCAATGCAATTCTATTCACCATCGTCACTTATGACCCTTGAGGGACCGCACAGGTATTACGCGAGGGGCGACGACTTACGGGGATCAGATATATAGGCCACACCGAGTCTGATATCTACTATAGCGATGTTACCTTGAACCATACAGTAGACACTCATTCATTCAAATTCCAGAAAGCCAAGAATTTTGTTTGAATTATCGAAAGTTTGAATCATCAAAAATTCATCCAAGTATGATACAAAATAAAATTTTAATTTGTTACATGGATGGCTACACGTACAAAGCAGATATCTGATGATGAAACATTGGTAAAATGTATGAATTAACTTTATTCATCCCTCAAAAATGTTGTCTACTGCGGACTGTTTAAACAGCACTTGACGCTTCAAAACAAAACTTAGCTTGTTCATCGAGCAAAAAAGTTGTCTATTGTGGACTGTTAGCCCTGTTGAGTGTGCTTCCTACCAAGCACCGGTGCACTGTGGAAAAAAATGACCGCATCTCCACTTGGTGAATGATGTTGATTGGGGCGAAGCTCTGGTGGTGCTGATGATGCTGATTTTATCGTTAATAAATAGTGCTGATGGTGCTGATTTTTTTTTTTATTGCTCATGGGTAGTGCTGAGTTCCGGGTTGTTTTGACTTCATTATTACTGCTTTATGCTCGGTGAAATGCAGAGCCAGTGGTTCTTCTAGCGGATCAGCTTGGATCCGCTAGAAGCCGTGGGAACGCATCTCCACCACTTAAGTCAATGGTCCATGTCAGAAAGAATGTGTGGTATGGATCGTGGTTATATACGCAGTTGAGCATTTCACTGCAGCGCCCTCTCGTCTATAAACGTTGAGTCAACGCGATTATATACGCATTTGACCGCAGCTCCCTCTCCTGTATAGACGTTGAGTGGCTACATGCAACGTTTCATCCATGACAGAAACCCCAGCTCTTGAGTTACTACCACATCTCAGAGCCCCCTACTCGTCCCGCAGTTGTGGCCGAGTGGTTAAGGCGATGGACTAGAAATCCATTGGCGTCTCCCCGCACAGGTTCGAGTCCTGTTGACTGTGCAAACATTTTTTCTTTTTTTTAAGAAGACGGATGGGATGGCAATCGATGTGAGCACGGACGCCGGACAAGGCTAGACCCTAAGGAGCTTCGCCCCTAAAACAACACCAGTGGAAGCGAGCCCTGCATGTGTTCTTTCTCCGCAGTTCACTGGTGCTTGGTAAGAAGTGCACTCAACGGGGCTGGGAGAACAAAGAGCATTACTACCGTATTTACTCGAATATAAGTCGACCACGAATATAGGTCGATGCCTTTATATTGAACTCGCCTAATATAAAAAGAAATAATTCTAATACAGGTCGCCTTTTTTATTTTTTTCTTTTAGAAGAACGGAGGAAAGTTTATGCAAAAGAAAAAGGAAAAAAACCTTTATTTACAGTGCCCTCGGCTGAATCACAGGGCGATGCCAAAAACTTAATTGTCGTCAGAACTTATGGACATGTCATCGTCGCCGGAAGCTTCGTCAGCTTCATGGATGTCCTCACAAATTCGCAATGATACCTCACTGACACCGTTGCAAGATGACGACAACAAGAAACGTAAGGTGGAAACAGGCGAAGCGACGAAAGACCAAATACAAAGACGCCAGCAACGCCGCGAGTCACTGTGAGCGAGCCGCCGTGAACATCGAGCGAAAGTAACATCTGTGTTTTCTTTTGGTGTGCTTCTGCCAGGGAGAGAGAGGTGGAGAGGAAGGGGCAAGGCACACGGCGTCCCTCCCCTTCCCCCCTTGTGTAGCGAGGGGCATGCGTTGGTGGCGCCAGCCGCTGACAAGCGCGAAACCCAATGTCCAAGGAGGGATGCGCGCGAGCGGCGGCCACGGCGGGCGGGCCACCGGCTGCTGCTGTTTCGGTTCTTTTCATGCACCGAAAGCTTTTTGAAACAAGAAGCGGTGTGGCTGTAGAGCCACGCCGCTTCTCGGTGACTTGATAGCACCATGCCCTCGATAGGGTTGCGAAATTTAGTCACGAATGTAGGTCGATATTCTTTGGTCACGATTATAAATCGATCCTTAATTTTTGAAAAAAAAAAAAAAAAAAAAAGGTAGACTTCTTTTTAAATAAATACAGTAATTACACGAAAACGCCGTTTGAATTAAACAGCTTATAAATGCATAGAAAATATAGCGGGACAACCAAAATTTTGAAACTTGTTTGATTTAACCGGAAGCATGAAATATCTGAGTTTGAATTATTGCGAGCCTACTGAAGTTTACTTACTCTAGCGATATAAATCGATCCTCACCTTTCCTGCAGAGGCGATCCACGATGTCGGCACCTGCCTTAAGGTCTGCCAGACTGAACTCGTAGAACTTGGTCCACCCCTGAGGCAGGGTGAGAAAAACCAGCATAGATCAAGAGTTGCTGCTACTTGTCTACGCCCTTGCACAGTAAACAAGTAAGGACAAGCAGACCAAGACGTGGCTCTGGCATACGCTACAGCGGTGGTGCTGCTGTCGACATGGCGCATTCGCAGACGCTTCGCCTCTCGGAAACCTGGCTTCTGTGCAAGCGCACAGCTGGTGTGGACAAACACAAACTTGCTTTGTAAACAGCATGTAGGCCTAAACTCAAAAAGCATTTAGAAGTACTAAGACTGATTATACTGAAGACTGATGTGCAACTTGAGTCAAAGTTCATTTTCTATGTACAGTGAAACCCCGATTATATGACTGTTGCTGTTGCGGGACGATGCGAAATCGTCGTATAATCCTCAAGTCGTATCATTAAAAAAAAAAAAAATATTACAGATGCACTGATTGGCCTCGCACCACAAAGACAAGCGGAGATTTTAAATGATGTCAAACCTAATAATCTGCTGTACTTTGATGAAACAAAAACCGTCGGTACAAATTGCGAATTTGTTTTGACGATAATCACGGATTGTGACGACTTTTCACGCTTTCTGAAAGCGAGAATGGCAGGAACCGGCGCAAGCGTGGCCAACCCCGGGAGAAGCAATGAGTTGGAGACAGTGGTGCAGAGGAGAGCGAGGGGCAACGAGAGAACGATGGGTCGAGTGGAGCAAGGACGCAACGCGAAAACGCCCAGGCATTTCACAACCCGGGGAGGAGAAGGGAAAGCGCTGTCTCCTGCTCCCTCCTGGCGCTGCGGCTGTCTTGAGTTGCTGGTGGCATGTCTTTGGACCCTCTGAAACAGCGCACAGGCACGCAAAACTATTCCACGTTGCCGCGCCGCCACCGCCCCCCTCCCCATGCAGCTGCCGAATTCGTCAAGCATTTCTCGCCGGAACGTCTCATGACACTAGACGCGTAGAATCATGCATCATGTAAATAACGCTTTTAAAACATTGTTTCTATAGGGAGTTCGTCGGGAGTGGGCAAATTCATCATAAAATGCGGGATGTCGCATAAACTGGGGATGCATAATTGAGGTTCCACTGTATATCACATGCTCTCTTTTTGTACATAAGATCATTCAATGATTTGCATAAAACCAAACAGGTGAAGCAAACTTGCCGCCATGGAGTTTTGCTATGACACGTTCATCGTATGTCAATTCCTCAAGTAGTTTCTCAATTTAAACAATAGTAATGAAATCATGCCTGAATAGGCCATGATCTATGGATCGCCGACAGACACTCCAGATGTTCCTCTTCTCGGTTCATAATCAAAACTATTTACGAGGGGCACTCTCCGATCAGATGAAATATTTTTACAGCGAAGCTGTTATGTGCTAGCATCTGGAAAAAAGTGCGTCCATGGATGCTAACAAAAAACTCCCATTTAAACGGCACTGATGAGATGCCCGCTGATGAGATGCCCTCTGACAGGGTGCCCTCTGAGGGGGTGCCCACTGACCAGAGTGCCCTCTGACTAGGTGCCCTCTGACCGGGTGCCCACTGATGAGATGCCCTCTGACAGGGTGCCCTCTGACCAGAGTGCCCTCTGACTAGATGCCCTCTGACCGGGTGCTCTCTGACGGGGTGTCCTCTGACCGGGTGCCCTCTGACGAGATGCCTTCTGACCGGGTGCCCTTTGACAAGGTGCCCTCTGACGAGGCGCCCTCCGACCGAGTGCCCTTTGACGAGATGCCCTCTGACCGGGTGCCCTTTCACGGGGTACCCTCTGACGGGGTGCCCTCTGACGCGGTGCCCTCTGACGGGGTGCCCTCTGAGGAGTGCCCTCTGATGCAATACCCTCTGATGCGATGCCCTCTGACCAAGTGCCCTCTGACTGGGTGCCCCCTGACTGGGTGCCCTTTGATGAGATGCCTACTGATGAGATGCCCTCTGACAGGGTGCCCTCTGACTGGGTGCCTCTTAATGAGATGCCCTCTGACCAGGTTCTTTGTGAACGGGTGCCCTCTGACCAGGTGCCTTCTGATGCGGTGCCCTCTGATGAGATGCCCTCTGACGGGGGGCCCTTTTACGGGTGCCCTCTGAGGAGGGTGCCCCGACTGGGTGCCCCTTGACTGGGTGCCCCCCCCAACTGGGTGCACTCCGACTGGATGCCCTCTGACTGGATGCCCTCTGACAAGATGCCTACTGACGAGATGCCTACTGACGAGATGCCCTCTGACCGGGTGCCCTCCAACTGGGTGCCCTCTGACTGGGTGCCCTCCGACTGGGTGCCCTCCGACTGGGTGCCCTCTGACCAGCTGCCTCCTGACCAGGTGCCCTCTGAACAGAACCCATTTGACCAGAACCCCTCTGACCAGCTCAGTGACAAGATGACCTTTGATCATGTGCTTTCCGATCACACTCTCTGACCAGATGCTTTCTGATCAGATGCTCTCTGACCATACAGTCTTTGATCAGACACTGATCAGCCACTCTCTGACCAGATGCTCTCTGATCGGGCACTCTTCGAGCAGTTCTCATTCATCCATACTTTACTACTCTCGAGCCCCGAGAAGCTTGCTGAGTCATTACCAGAGCCTCACCTGAGGAATGTAGGTGCGACGTTCCTGCACGATTGCATGGAACCAGGCTAGCACAAAGTACGCCTGAGAGCAGAGCAGGTTTCCGCGCACAGAAATGGTCTGCGGTGTCCAGCCACTGTAGGTCCTCTGTAGGTTTCTCTTTACTCCCGGTGGGGCCTAAAAAGCAAAACAATGGAAAGGCGATTTCGCCCCGGAAGGTGCACTGAAGAGCTGACCATGTATTCCTAAATGACTGTTCCAGTCCCAAAATCTTTTTCAAACTGCCTGTATTGGAGACCCATAAAATAAAACGCATTCCCCCCTAAAAAAAAACCAATGTAAACTAAAAATGTATACTGCAAGGCACGATTTGATGCATAGCCATTCGAGTAAGATGTCAGAATTTAGGTACTTATCGCTGCCCTATGCCACGAAATACACCTTCCATGAAACCAACGTCTCAGTTAAATAAAGTCAATGTTTGACACTCAGTGGTAACATTCATCCAATCAGATTGTGCGATATTTACCTCAAATGACAAAACTTCCAACCTTTCTAAGCAACGTGGTCATCTGAAGCAAGGTACACTTTGAAACTGCATAGTTAAAGCTGATCACAAGACCGACGTCTGCGTTTTCTCACACTTGGTAACTTCGAAAAGGCATTGGAGGGCAGTAAACTAAACTGCCTATGTTGTTAGAACATTCTTTATCAGCCTGTTCTATATGTATACATATACTACACACATATATAGTGCACCGTCGTGGCTGGCTCCGGTGCTCTCGCTTTGCACTCGCGTTCCTTGTACCTCCATCTTCACTGTGCTGCACCCACTGATTTTGCTTCTTATCCGCTTCGGTAGTACACAAAGCTGGCAAGAGCTTCGTAGTCTGTGTAGCCCGCTTCGCTGCTGCCGATAGCATATTGAGGAAAGTCTCCGATCTAACAGCAGTCGCCGATTGCACGTGGAGCTTGCAATTTGCGACTGCACCTTCCACGCTCTATCGATCAAAAGTACTAAAGGTGGCCCTATAAATTTTATAAATTTAAAAATAAAAGAAAAATCGGCGAATGTTCGCTTTACCCAACAGTGTCGTGGAGTGGACCCTCTTAAGCGCTGGAGGTGTGAGAAAGAGAATTACTGTGGCGCAGTATATCATGCAAGGACATCACAAATGGCTTCTTGTCTCCTATACAGTGCAAGCCGAGCAGGAATAATCGAGCCTGGTTTCTCGTCTTCCCACCTCGTAGGTCACCTTGAGGCACATCTCGAGCAAGACGCTGGAGAACTTGGGGTGCGCCTCCGTCGTAAGCCACAGTCGGAAGTCCTGGTGAGGCCGTAGTGCTGCTATTTCCTGCCCCCGCACGAAACAAAAAGGAAAGGCTAAGGGAGACCACCCCGTCCTTAAAAAACAAAAATGTCAAAAACATTTTAACGTAATAGCATTAAGAAACTCGCGTCACAAAACCTCCGGCGTTGGCGTCGATGGGACCATTTTCCCGCCAAATTTTGCAGAAAAGTATCCCGCCAAACCTAGCGGGAAATTATCCCATTAAATGTAGCGAAAAATTTTTCCACCAAATTTAGCAGGTTCAGAGGGTCATGCCGTCACAGCCGCGTGTGACGTCATGTGACAGATGACGCTACGGACTAGACCACACACAACGTTTGCACGGCTTGGCAACGAGCAGGTGTTTATATGAGAAGACTGCGAACGGGACCCGATAATGCTGTTGCGGTCCACTCTTAAAGGCGAAGCTTAACCTTCCCCCAAGTTGTTTTTCTATTATTTAGAAGGCACAAACAATATACGTTCTAATGACCACATAGAAAATGTGCATTTATATAGTTAGCCTGACCGAAAGTTCCGTATCCAGGCTGCTTACAAGCAGGTTTTCAAAATCGTTTCCTGTTTTCTCAGAATTAACTTTTTTGCCTCAACACAAAGTCGAAGAGGAGTTGCCCTTTAAAGGGATACTTCAACGAAATTTGAAATATACCCGTCGTGTTCAGAAAAATAGGCTGAATATGATCCACAATATCTGTAAATGACAACTGCCCATTTGTATTTTGTATAGCACATAAAATATTGCTTATATAAATATTTATGTATGCTTATATAATATATATAAAATATATATTTTATGTGCAATTCGGTGCTAAAATGCACTTAACTGCTCGAAAGTTTGTTTTCTCTACGGAAAATTACACTTTCGAACTTCAAATTGTTCTGTAAACTTTCTTTCAAGCGGAACGGCACAAGAAACAGTGCTCGCTGTAGTGAGACTTTTTATGCATTGACTCCTATAGACCAGCACACATGGTCCTCTGGATATCCTCAGGATGTCCCGACGTTCCAGGGATGTTCTGTGGATGTGTATAGGACATTTGCGCTGGTAGGATATATCTACTATAAAGTTTAAATCGCGTGTTGAGCCACCAGAAACTGCCACTAATAGCCGGTACTAGAGCGCAACGTTAACTGGGCATGCACGCTGCCATTACTCGATGGCGACGGCGATGAGGCTGGCCTTTCTTTGCTGTTGCACCGACGTTGGTTGCACCTTAGCTCTTGGCTTGATAATGCTCTGCAACAGACTATCCAGAGCCGAAGCTCAGTCGTCTTTTTCGTTTTGTCGGTTGTCCTTTTGTAGTACGGTACGCGGGCTTTTTGCACATGGCACCGCCAAGCAAAACGCGCAAGTTTTTATCCTTACAAGATAAAACTCGCATCCTGGCCGAAGTTGCAAGTGAACACAAGGTGTCATCGCGGAAAAGTTTGAAATTTCATCGAGTTCTTTGTCAACGATCCTAAAGCCGAAAGATGCAATCGAAACGGCTCTTGCATCGAGGACATCGGCCAAGCAAAAGAAACTGACACTGTCGGCGCACAAAGAGCTCGACAAAACTATGTACACATGGTTTGTGGAGACGAGGGCGAAAAAGATACCCATCAGCGGAAGCGTCGTGCAGCAGAAGGCCTTAAATTTCACTTGCTTCTGGGAATCGACAACTTCAAAACAAGCACTGGCTGGCTCAACAGGTTTCAATACTCTACCAGTATGCCATTTTTTTGTGAATTTCGCAACAACAAAATTTTTGCTACAATTTTTTTCTTGCACACCATCAATTTAGTTGTAGCGTGGTTCAACTGTAGTATCTCTAACGCTGGGGTGCATAACATGCGGCCCGGGGGCACTTGTTGTGCGACCCACGGACATGACATTGCGAGATGTGCTCAAGACAGCAACCAGTGCGATGATGCCAGATATTGAAAACCCGCGCAGTTCCCAATCAAAAATTTTTTGGCCCGCGTTATTTTTGAGTTGTGCACCCATGCTTTAAAGGGGGACACTACCCAGAAAAAAACAATTTCTGCAAAAAAAAGTTGATCTTGAAAAATGTCATATTTGCATCCACCAACATCTAGAGAGTATTCCCAGAAAGTTTCATTAGTTTACACTGCATAGTTAATTTTTTATAAATTATTTTCGGCCCACTGATGCTAAAGAAAAGGTAGAGGTTAGGAGCACTTTGAACGCATTTTTCTCCATTCCACTTTTTGGCACAAATTTCACTTTAGGAAAACTATCCTTTTGTTATTATGCAAGTTCGATTCATTTTTATAAGTTTTTCTGGGGTGAAATATTAAGGAGAAGATAAGTATGAGCTTGTATTTTTTATTTTTGTTATTTTTCATGCTCAAGAACTAAAAGTTTGGACAAAGGATGAAAATCTAAAAAACTGTATTTGTGTTTATGTGGCTTTTTTGTCATGAAAGATGGTATAACATAGAAATATAGCTCCATAGTTATCTGCTCTGAACTGTCCTAATGCAATGTAACACATGAAGACGACAAATTTATAAGTAATTTCAAAACGATAGTTTTCCTACGCAGACACGCCCACCTTCACCTTTGAACGTTTGCAATTGTTTTTGTACTTCACCCAGGTTAACAAAAATTGGCAGAAATGTTCTCAACATCAACAGAAACAAGCCCTGTAAATGTAACTTAAATCAGACAAGTGGTTCAAAAATTTACTTTTTTGGGTAGTGTCCCCCCTTAATTTATAATTTGCGGAATTCCCAAGTTTGGGAAAAGTTAATGGTGGGCGCTTGTATGAAGTATTTTATGGTGGTGTATGTTCAACTAAAATAATGTAAGAATAGAATAACTTCAAGCACCAAAATTGCTGCTTCGTTCCAGTTTTAAAGGGTGTAATAAAACTGGAATTCTTAATTCAGATAAAAACAAAGCTTTTGTCCTTTGGTCATGAACTACACTAACGTTTTAGATTTAGAACTTTGTGATAACAAAAAGTCACCATGTGAACAATATTTACGCCTTCTTAAAAGCAATCCCACCACTCGTTAAGGTTATTCTAAAGCTTCCATCCACTGCTCGAGCTAACTGTTTTTATTTACTTAAGTGCCTATCGAACAAATAGAAGGTATCTGAAAGAGATAACTAAGCAAAAACATTGCCAAAAAATAAATCTACAAGGAAATCCATACAAAGCTTGCAATTAACCAAGAACCCTCACTATATCTCAACTTGTTAAAAAGCTATCGTCAGGATATTGCAGTCTATCAGAAATTTTATTTCATTTATTTACTCTCACGGCCCGAAGGCATTAGAGAGGAGTAGGTTAGTTATTCAAAAATACAAGAATGCAATGCTAACGGGATAAAAATACATTAGTATAAATGAAGGCAAGAAATACGTCAATACTCAAATAAACCAAGAAACAAAAGTTACAAACATTGTTAAGAAACATTTAAAAAAATTGTAATTGCAGGTCTAAAAAAGTTAACGATGTTTACAATCTTCTGTAACGCCGAATTAAAGCGCAGCTCTTGAGGTGGAGGAGGGGAGGGTACGTCCCTCTTCTTTCCCTGTTAAATTCAGCGGGGAAATTTCCCCACAAATTTGCGGGAGTATTGGTAAAGTTAAATGCGTGTGACATCACGTGACGTCGTACGTCACATGTTTCCTATAATGACGTCACACGTGACGTCGCGAGGATAACATTGTGACGTTGCCACCCTCGTAACCCTCGTGAGAATAACCCTCGTGAAGGCAACCCTCGTGAGAGTAACCCTCATGAGGGTAACCCTTGTGACCCTTGCAAAGGTAACCCTCGTCGGGGTAACACTCGTGAAGGTAACCCTCGTGAGAATAACCCTCATGAGAATAACCCTCGTGACGTCAAACGTTACAAGTGACGTCATCATGGGATATGTTGCAATGGAGCAAGATACGCAAAATCACGATACCTACTTTGCAGCTTTTGCTTCACTGCAGCGCACCAGTGCACAAAGAGAAGTGCACTTAGTGAAGCTAACTAACCTGCCAGAAGGGTACATGTTCACTGTCTTGCCCCTGTCTGTCCTTCACACTTTTAATGCGAAAGCATTAACTATCCCATGGAGTGGAGCCGGCGGCATCTGTAACCGCAAAAAAAACGCGAAAGAAATGCCCATTCTTTCACTGGCTGAGCAAAATGGCTGCTAGATAGCCGATGGCGTCCGCTTCAAGAGAGCGCGCACTCGGCCGCCGCTCTCGCGTCAGGCGTAACTGGACGGGGGGCTGCGGGCACTTCTGCACCTCTCGGCGCCAAGGCACATGGCAGGAACACCAAGGAACATCTACATCGTTGGCACCTCGGCAGTAGCGAAACGTGGCCGTCCACACCAGTACACTGCAGACAAACTAAGCGAGCGAACATTCATGCTTGTGCATTCACAACTTATAAGAAGTGCTTAGGTGTCCTCGAAATTTTTGTTGTTCATACCGCCAAAACAGACCACACACGCGACAAATATTTTTAAAAGTTCGAGTACTGTCAGTGTTCGATATAGTGAAAAAATTGTATATTACCTTATTTGAGATGATAACTAAAAGTTCTGAAAATTTGCATAAGCCTACCGTAACGATCGGGCCATGTAGCGGGGCCGAGCTATCATATTTTCAGTATTAAAAAGGCAAAATTATGCCCTGGTGCAACGTTGGTGCTGTAGAGGCTCGGAGCGACAACACTGTCTTCACCACCATGCGCTCTCCCGAGCTGTGAAGGAGGCTGGCACGCACCAGGGATACCCGACACCAGCTCGGGGGGCCCGAATGCGGGCCAGACCTCCGTGAGGGTATAGACTAAACAACTCAAGTCACCCCCACGGCAAGAGAGGAAAGTGTTTTTAAGAACAAAATAACTGAATTAACGAACTGCTTTGTTCCTTCTGCTATGCTTACTTCGAAGCGTGCACGTGACAAACCTTGGGTATCTCGCCAGCTCCGTAGCCTTATTCAAAAGAAGCGAAGGGCGTTGAGGCCTCAAGTACCGTAGCACTCA